TTACGACTACTCCTTAAACTATCATTTTCTGATGACCTAAAGATAATGATAGCTTTTTTTTAAGAACTGAAATGTTTGTTCAAATATAAATATGTAATAATAATTATTGCATTCATTATTTTATGACTATTCTTAGTTTTCTTTCTTTTCTTTCGTTTAATTTTGCATAAAATCGATGAGATATTTTAGAATTAAAACTAAACTGAGCAAAAAGTTTTATTGGTGTTTTATTTAAAGGTTGGTAAAAGTGCACTTGTGGGTCAGTTTTTATGGGAAAAATTTACCAAAGAGTACCGACCAACGGTGGAAGAATTTAATTGGATTGAATATATGAAAGATGATGGTAGTAAGATACTTTTGCAGGTACAAATCTTTTATTAATTAATGACAAAGATTTTAAAGAATTCTAATTTTTATTCATTTTTGATCATGTGATTAAAAGGGAATTTCATTTTAGGTAGTAGATTCGAGTGGCTCCCGCGATTTCTTGGCTATGAGACATTTGTATGCAAGAATTGGTGACGCTTTTGTTGTATGTTTCTCATTTTTATAATTGAATAGATTCCTTTGACAAATATAATTTGAATATAAACTTTAATAAGATATGAGATAAGCTAATTTTGAAATTAATAACAAATTTGATATAACAAGTTAATAACAATAACAATTAATAATTGATAACAATTAATAATTAATGACAATTAATAGCAATAACAAATTAATAACAAACAAATAAAACAAACTAAATTTGATATTTTGGAAAGGGTCGTTTATTAATTTAACGCTGATATAATCAATTTTATTTCTTCCTTCACATTTATAATGAAATAATATAATGAATGATGCAATGAAATCCAATTTTAGGTTGTATTTGCAGTGGACGATCCGATATCGTTAGATGAAGCGAAAGATATTATTAAAGAAGTTCAAACACGAAATACCAAAAAAGCACCAATAATTTTGGTTGCAAATAAAATCGATTTATATGAATGTGAGGAGCAATGGGCAGCAAAAAAATCGAGAATTTATGCTTTCAACAATGAACTTCATTTTGCTGCTCTTTCTGCAACTAACCTTCCTCAGGTAGTAATTTCCTATTTTCATATTTAATAATATATCAAATATTATTATGAGAGATTATGTTCCGAAAGGATAAGACAAAAATTTATTAATAATTGAAAATTCCATTGATTATTACTGTTTCTTGTCGCATGCAAAATATTTTCCACTATTAACAAATATTTTCCACTATTTTCCACTATTACTATTAACAATTTTCCACTATTAATTGCTTTCCTTAAATTTTCATCGGTTATTTTGAAAAGTTAAATTGAATGAGATAATCATTCCATTATAGGTAATTGAAATATTTCGATCTGTACTAAGTGAAATTAGGAATTTTCATCCGGCAAAAATGAAAAAGCGCCGTCAGTCGATGCCAATCACTCGGGGAAGTGACCACAGTGATATTGAAATTAATGCTATTGAATTAATAACCAGAAAGCATGCTATGGAAAAAAAAAAATTATGTACAATATCTTGAACTGAAATATAGGTAGGCCTAAAATGACTGTCTGTTGATTTCTACGACTGTCAAATAACCGAATGAGTGATCCGGAAAAATGTTGACAATGAACAGTGAAATGTATTGTGATGTTGCATTATTGATTATCTACTACTAAATTTGTTGATGAAATATTCGCAAAATAAATGATAAGAAAATTTTCACATAATAATTCCTTACGCATATTTAAGCAATCAATAAACTTTTATTTGGCATAACGTTCTATTATCAGTATTGATATTAGTGAAATAGAGTAACATTCTAATGAATGAATTCAAATATTTTCTCCCTTTTTACCTCTTTATCCTATGATTGATTTATACCTGCGTAGGATAATTATTTCTGAACAAATAACAATTAATATTGTAACATTGCATTTCGCTTATCAATTTGTTAAATATATTTATGGCGCGATTGATTTTAATAGCCAATTTATTGCTTATCATTGAAGATTCAAAGGATAGTTATCAATAAAGTTAGGATAATTTAAATTTTGTCCACAAATTTCGCGACACTCAATTGTGTTCTCTTTAAGGGACAGAAAAAAGGGATGACATTCATTTATCCAATCACAATGTATAATTCTTCCGTTCAGTCAAACTTACACAAATCATTTGATGAGAACAGCAAATAGCCATAATGATTAGATAAGAATTGAAGTTGCCAGCGTGTTATTCATATAAACTTTGATGGAACATTGAGCAAAAATCTTCTTCTTACTAGCTTCCATTAATATCCAATTGAATGCAACAAGTGAAAACGCTGATCAATTTGAAGCATAAATTATCATCTTTCAATTGATCGAATACAAGTGATATTTACTGATGATAATGCTATATTATAAAAGGAAGATATTGCTTTAGAGCTGGCGCTGAAGAAGTCACTTGAAGAAAGCAAACGAAATTGTCAAGTAGGTTTATTTGCAAAGTAACCCCGTTAATACTGATTTTTCCTTGTCAATTTGACCGTTTG